GCTTGCCAGGCAAGCGCTTATTCTACTGAGCTATCTCCCCAGCCCTGGGCACAATTTCTAGAGCCCCTTGATGTTATAAGGCACTGGTTTGGAGCCCAACAGGGTATTAGAGAATGGAGCCACCTTCCCTGAGGGCAGAGTGGGAGAACTGTCTGCAAGGATGGGGGAGATGTCAACAGACACGCCTGGGGGGACAGCCCCTGTGTCCCAGGTAGGAACTATTACAGCCCACAAGCAGGGTGCAAGGAGACAGGGCCCACGCCTTCCACCCATCCTCCCACTCCAGAAAAATGAGCAGTAGGTAGAAAAGGAAGCAGGAGGGAGGGAGTAAGGAAGGACAGATAGATGGATAAAAAGAAGGGAGGGCTTAGTTCACATTGGGCCAGGTCATTGTTTCCCAAGCCCAGATCTGAATGGCCCAAGCCAGATGCAGTCTACTGACTGAAGTTGTCCAGTGTGGTGGGAGTAGTCGAGGGCTGGAGGAGAGCAGAGAGAGGACAGCTGGGGCCAGGCTGACCTGGGAGGAGGGAAGGACACTGGGACAGCTCCCTCTGATCATCTCTAAGTATGAGCCCCGCCCTGCCCTGCACCACACACTGACCACCTGGTCTCTGTCGGCCTCCTGACTCAGCCCTAGTGCCACCACTGACACTGTCACTTGTACCTTCCTCTTCAGGCCTGTGTACCTAGCTCTACTTCTTGGGACCTATGTGTGTGAATATGCATGTGTGATCATGTGTGTGAGAGTGTGTGATTGCATATGCACCTGTGTATGCATGTACATCTGACTCACTATGTATATGTGAATGAATGTGTGCTTATGACTGTGTGTATATGGGAGTATATCACATGGGTGTGCATGTAAGAAGATCGTGTTTATATAAGTGCGAGTGAACATGTGAGTGTGTGGGTAAGCATGAGTACAACCCAGCGTATGTGTGTGTGCATGAATGTACATGTATGTGAGTGATATGCATGTGTGTGTGCATGTGTGAGAAGCCCATGATCACATGTATATATGGATTTACACCTGTGCACACATGCTTGTGAATGCATGTGAGTATGCTTGCAGATGCCAGGGTAGGTTTACGTGAGCGTGAACGTGGAGGAGGCACATGTGCATGAGCGTGCGCTCACTGGAGGGCAGCAAGTGGAAGTCCCTGGGATCTGGTGCTGGTGCTCAGCTTGGCTCTGCTCTACTCCCCAGACCAGAGCTGAGCAGAGGATGTGCTTCCTGGGGCAAATGTGGCTGCAAGTGGTACAGCATGGCCTCCACGGTGCCCTCCTGGTGGCCTGTGGACATGATCTGGCTGCCTGGGCTTCTGTTCAGAAGCCGTCCCCTCCTCCCCTGGCTCAGCCTGTGCTGGCTGGCTTCTGGCATGGGGCAGTCCCATCTGGTGTGGGTTGTAGGTAGGTCAGGCATTTCTGGATGGTACTGGATTTGTGCTGCAGTGGGGGTGGCATGAGGTTGGTACTTTGGGGTCAAGGAGGGCTCACACACTGTTCCCTGGGGCTGCCCCTTCCTGGGAGGCAGCAAGGCCTGGAAGGCTCTGGGGCTCCCCCAGGGGTGTGGTGCAAGGTGAGCTGCCTGCCTCCAGATAGAAGGGAGCAGAGAGCAGCTGGCTCTGGCCCTGAGCCTGAGAGTTGCCTGCCTGCCCATCAGCTGCGTGTCTCCTGACCTGCTGCACCCATGCTGTATGCCGCCTGTCATGGGCAGTTCCAAGGGCAGGGCGTGGACATGGAGTCAGGCAGTTTGGATTCCAGCTATAGCGATGTAGCCATCTCACCTGCCTCACCGAGCCCCTGTTCCTTCATATGATCACAAAACACCATTCAAGCCAGCACATATGAATAGGGCAGGAGCCGGCAAGTAAACAGGTATGAAATAGGTGCTGCACCTCTGCCTTCCCGTCTGTCCATCTGCCCATCAGTCATGCCCCAGCCCTCCACCAAATGGGCCTGCACCACTCCAAGCAGACTAGGCCTGCATCACAAAGATTAGAGCCTTACTTTGCTTAACCCTTTGGGAAGGGCAAGATGAGAAAATCAATTCTCCATTCGTGCATTCTCTTCATCCTGCCTCCTAACAACCATGGCTCAGCCCTGTGAGCTGGACAGTATCCAGACCTCTCTCTTGTTGCTGAGCTGCCTCAGGACTCCTTTGCATCCCCTTTCCTGGCCTCCTCAAATATCTCCCCTGCCTGTGTCATTCTAGAAGCACCATAAGTGATGTTTGCATTGGTTTGCATGTGCTCTCTCCTCTGCTGGGAGCATTTATGAGGTCCAGGTCTTGCTTCTGCACAAACCCCGGGATACCCCTGCCCTGACCACATCTGCCTCCTCCCTCTCAGCTATCCTTTCATTTTTGTGTTATCAGCATCCAAAGCTTGGCTGATGAACAGAGGAGTCAGAGAATGTTGGCTACATGAATAGATGGACAGAGGACGTGTGGCAGGATGGCATAAATGTTCGTAGTGCTTCAGAAAAGGAATACCTCATTCTGAGCTTGGGGATAAGTGAGGGGCAGGGGCAGGAGACCTCTGGGTGGAGGCTGCATCTTCACTGAGCCTTAACGGGTGGGTGAGGGGCAAGGCATCCTAGAGAGACTGACACAGAGGTTAGGGCTTTGGGGATCAGTAAGACCTCTGCCCTCTGTAGGGAGCAAAAGATAGTTGGGTTGTAAGTGTGAAGGTCCAGGTGGGATATCATGAGGCCTGAGCTAAGGCAAAGATGAAGGATAGTAGGTGCAGCCAGGATGTAACAGCTACTTAATTTCAGCCCAGGAAGCTGAGAGACTCCCCAGTCACCAAGAATTCAGATGGAATAGATTAAGAGGGAGGATGCTCTGTTGGACTTTGCATATATATATCTTCCACTCCCTCCTTTCTGGGTAACAACATCATCCATCCTCCCACTCACCCATCTACCTGTCCATTCATCTATCTACCCACCACCCACTCTTCTATGGTCAAGCAATGCTTCGGTCAACCGAGAACCACATGCCTAATGGCAGTCCCATTAAGATTACATCAGCTAGTGATGCCATAGCCATTTTTGCTTGTGTGAATGTACCCTGTAATGTTAGCACTATGATGAAGTCATCTAATGATGCATTTCTCAGAACATTTCCCTGTGACTAAGTACTATGTGACCATCCTCCTTTGTGCCCTTCAGTTCTCCACTTAGCCTCCCAACCTTCTGTTTGTCCATACCTGTTTCTTCCTCCCTCTCCTGTTCTTGGGTTCTACCCACCTCCACGTTGTATACAAATCCACTGAGCTGGTCCTTTAGCATCACCCTCCCAATGATGTCCCTACTTTCCTTACCAGCCTTTCCAGTCAATGTGTTTGATCATCCACTCATCTTGGGCTCAATGCATGGATACTTCTAATTCAAGTCATTCCTCTCTGTAGTTGCCATTGCCCCTCTTGGTGAGCCACATCTGTCCATCCATCCATCCATCCATCCATCCATCCATCCATTCACCCATCCATCCATCTACCAACTGCCTTTCTTCACACTCCTGTCCAGCTTTTACCTTTCAACTCTCCCTACCCATGAATGTAATCCATCCATTATCATTTTACTTTTTAAAGAGATTAAAAAGTAGTAAAAAATATTAGAAATGATACATAGTTTCACTCAACAAAATAATAGAAATTCAACAATGTTTATTATATCACATTCTGTTGTCTTCAAATTAGTTGTATAAGCATACAAACTTGGTAAAAAAAAGTTATGAGAAATTAAAAAGGAGAAGAAAAAATTAAGCATTAACTACTCCTTTCAGGGGCCGGGGAGATAGCTCAGTAGAATAAGCACTTGCTTATTCACAAATAAGTCTTTTTCTTTTCTTTCCTTCTTTTGTCCTTTTACTTATCCCAGCTGTTCTTTCCCTTTGAACAAATTCTTGCCCTTTCACAGTATCTATTGTACTTTTCAGGTTTTATTTACTCCTTCAGACTCTTACACTTGCAAGACAATATAATTGCACAAGAGGGTCTGATTTATTTCACTGAATGGTCTCTAGTTGCATCCATTTACTATAAAATCCTTGAACTGATTCTTTTTTATAGTTGATTAATACTCCAAGGTGTAAAAATACCACCTCTTTTTTGTCCACTCCTCAGTTGATGGGCATTTGGGCTGTTTTGAAGATTTAGCTGTGACAAATCGCTCTACTATAAGCATGGGTGTGCA